TTGGAGAGCCCTCAGCTCTGTAAAGTCAAACTATTGACTTCAGCCACAGTCCGTTTTATGTGAGCGCTGCCTGTTGAGAAATAAACATATTGTTATTTCATTTTGTCCAAGAATTGATGAGGTTACAGTGGACACACATAGTCTGTAACCAAAATACTGAATTTGCTAGATAAGACTTGTTGTGTCCTTGAATGACCTGAGTAATTACTGGAGGATGATCAGGCAACAACAAACTCATGCCAAAACATAATTAGAAGGGAAAAAGATGAGCATGCACTTCGCTGTATTGTTGTTTTTTTAATATATATATATATATTGTAAATCCTCTTCTGGATGGATGCTGGTTAATGGCTAAAAGGCATTTCCCAGCAAAACCCAAGCAGCGCTGTGCTGAGCGGTGGTAAGTCATGACTACAATTAAAAACATAAATCTAAGCCACCACTGTACAACGGATGCAGGTTTCATTCTCCTCTGTTCAACCTCTCTCTCTCCAGACCTGCATGCTTGTCAGAGGTGATACCTTTTTAAATTTTGTGTTCGGGGTTTTTGCATAAAAAAAGAATAGCTTACCCCACACTAAAATTAACATGTAGCCTGAATGCTTCTGGGGGGATTGGAAGCAGACTCTGATGCTGTAAAAACGGGAGGTGTGCGAGGAAACACTGTCTTGAATTAGATTGCCTATTGAGCAGTTCTTTGAATTATGCATTACCCTGAGCATGTCATTCTGTCCAGCTATGCATAGATCTGTCACTGCTTTCGCACAACGCTGAATCGTCCTGTTGCTTAAAAGTTGGTGTGGTTCGAGGACACAATAACGGCTTTTGCGATCTCCATTGTGGAGGCCGTGTATACAAAAGAATGTATTCCACTGCTTGAATTTGAGAAATGATTTGCTTTTTAAATATTGCTTTTTTTTTAATGGATGGAGTTTCTGTTTTGTCAGTTGCCAGTTTTACCCCCACATAGGTGGTATGAGGGTCAAAAGGTCAATGAAATCATCATGAGTTATGAGCTGGAGGCTGCAAATATTTATACTGAATTTCATGGGATTTGGGGAGTCGTAGTTTTGCAGATATTGTGCTACAAAGTGTGCAGTCGAAGTTCGTTTATACAACAGTAACGTTGGCCCGTACGGAGCCCTGGAGGTGTTTCAAGCTCAAACCAGGACCGTGATATGGTGTGATCTGCAGGATTTGGTGGTAGTCATGTTGTTCTGTCGTCTCACCTGCCCTCCATCGCGGTTTCTCCTCAGACCAAAGTTCCCATCGGTTCTAATGTCCAGTCCGTAGCTGTGTCCCGATTCGGGGTCTGCATCATTCTGAGGCGGCACTCGAAGAGCGAATGTGTCACAGTGGCATGACCAAGCCTGTCCCATTTCGAAGGCAAAATGAGCAGACCTTATGTGGCCCTGCCCATCCAGTGAGTTAGTGAGGGTTGGAGCATATGGCAGACTCTGAAATGGAAGTATTGGGTCGTCTCCATTGCCCCCAGTATGGGATTAAAAAAAATAATCAAAATTTCTGATTGTGTCTTGTCAAAATACTTAAGTCTCTGTTGTCAACTTCAGCTGTTAAAGTTGGTAAGTGAAAGGATAATTGTTCTGAAATACAAGGAACTAGAAGTCCTCCAGAGGCCAGGAAGTCCTATTTAACAATCAAACTATGCATTCTTTGAAGACATGGCGACATGGCGACTCTTGGTCTATCAGTTCTCTTCTTTTCCTGGTCTTAATCGGTCGTGTTCCTTTTGGTTTTGCAGCACTCTTACCATGAATTAGTGATTCTCAGACTTCCGCCATCAGCTGAGAAGCATTGATGTTGGCTCTTATCTGAGTTTCAATTAACTGTTGATTTCCGAGGCTGAAACTCTAATGAACGTCTCCGCAGCAGACGGGAACTCTTGGTCTTCGTTTTCTTGGAGGGCGGTCCTCGTGGGAGCCGGTTTCATCCCAGGGTTTAATGATCTTTGTGACTGAACTTGAAGAAACTTTCTAAAAATGTGTGACCTTCAAAGTAATGATGGACTTCTGACATGGATTACTACAGTAGTCCAACAACAACGTGATAAACTGATGATCTGAAACACATGACGAAGGCAAAACATCCCACTGGTTAATATCTGACTAGGCTCATCTATTATTGAAAACCGTAATAAAGCTAGTTACAGTGCCAGTGGTGTGTTGAGCTGTCATCAAGGCAAACAGTGGCTACTTTGAGTCTTAAATCTATAATTATTCGTATTTTTATTGACCTAAACAACTTGATTTTGTTAAACGATTAATGTTTTAATGCCGTATAAAGTCATTTGTGCTTGAGGTACAGCATGATTTGATTTGATTATAGTCAGTGACATCTTGTTTTAACCACATGTTGCAGAACTGTGGCGTTTTTAAAGTGACATCCTCTTAAATTCTCACTGAAATAAATAAAGCTGCACCAATAAAACACTCCCTGCAACCTCCATCCTGCCCTGCTCAAGCATGCACCGCGAGATTTGACGTGTTGCACAAGCAGCAATGTAGGATTTGAACATTTTTTATGTCCGTTGCACTCAGTTTAAATGTAACGTAGGCCGTCCAGTAGCAACATAAGTCCACCTTCCACAGCTGTGGGTCATTAGCAAAGTAACTTCCTGGTCAAGACAGACTCCATGAGGCCATATTCTGCTCCACTCGAACAAGCATGGAAACTCAATAAGGAAGTGGGAAGGGCAAGAGAGAAAGAAAAAAAAAAACGCGTGTACTTGACTTCCTGATAATATATTAATGTCATCATCTGGCTCTAAGTCCCGTACTTTTAGACGATGATTCAGCTGTATGCCGCAGCCTGTGTGAATACTTTAGAGCTCATTATCCGCAGCACAGTCAGAACAGCAGTCACTTCTCATCTTCTGCCGTAGGAGGAAATTTGTGCGCCATGTCTTTAAATAAAGCCCGATGTCCCCGAATTCACTGCAACTGCCGAAACATACATTGTGTCTCCGCTTACATGGTCATCCTATGTGATTTCAGGAAGCTTTTCTCAACTTGGCAGGATCCCGTAATTGGCTGCAGGAGTTGTGATGCATGACAAAAATCAGTTCTAATATTCAGATTTATTGTTATGTTCAGGGAGGATGTTTCTTCATAGGAGGGCGAAGGAAGCCTCGGTTTGCACTTATGCTGTGTTAAAGGATCAGGCAGCTTAGGACAACTTTACTTGATATGGTTTTAATTTTTGCTTCAGCGTGGGATTCTACCTGTCAACAGCTCCAGTGTAAGAGTGTTTGGGCGTATCATCCAGTGACTAAGCAATGTCCTGCTTTTGATTTTACTTTTCTTGGTAAAGGTACAGTTCAGCCCTCCGAATCTTTCTCTACTTTCCATTATCTCCTTCCGAATTTAATCAAGCATACGTACCACAAGCTTTAAATGTTCTGTCGCTCACCGTGGGTTGAGATTGACCCTTCGTCATGAGCGGAATTTCAATCGGTAGGCTACCACCAGGTTAACAACGGCACGCGAATCACACCACGGGAAGGTTAAAAACAAACAGAAGACTTGCATTTTAGCTCATTTTCCGACGGCACCGACAGATAAAAGCACTTCAGTAATTTCATGAGTCACCGTTCATCACCGAAGCAACAACAAGCAGCTGTATTCATAATTCTCCTCGTGCCCTCCAGTGATGTTTCCATTGTAGTCGGCGCTATTTGTGGCTCGTTTCTGTATTTTCGTTGTGGATTTGCAGCACTTTCTTTCAAAACGCTGAATCCGTGTTGTCAAATTTGAGAGGATTTTCTTTCTTCTATTTGCAAGAGGTTTATTTTATTTAATTTTTTTTTCCCCAGCAGGTTTGTCTGTAATGGAAAATATATAAATACCACAATTCACCATGCAAAAGGGCTTTTAGTTAGACCGCTATGGATAAGGAGAACAACAAAAGACACATTTGTACTTTAACCAAGCTTATAGGGTGGACTTTTTAGGGATGTTTCAGGGGGTTCGCTTTGCAACTTGCAACCTCACTAGTTTGCCTCTACCTCCCAATGTGAAGCGGTGTTCATTTTTCATTTTCTTGGAACGGTCTTTCTTTTTTCTTAGTCCTAACCTATTAATCATGCGTGCATTTACTTACACATACACCCAGCCACATTACACAGGACACCCACCAAAATAAATGGTCTTCCACTTGTAGCGTCCCGTACTTATTTGTTTGATTCAATAAGCTTCTCTGTAGTCTGTTTTATGCGCTTATGATGCACTGAAAAAGAAAAAGTGAGCTCCATCAAGTGCTGTACCATCAGCGCTGCTGTTCAGGTGAAGTATTTTCAGCAGAAATTGGCTCAGACTTCTAAAGAGGAACATGCTTTTAAAAGAAATAATTTGTCTTCGTTTTTAGATTACAGGCTTCTTCAAGGAAAATCCGAGAGCTATATTTCTCTTCGATTTGATAAAAGCCTCAAAAGAAAATAATAAAGGCTCCTCCACGTAAAAAAATCAGCCGACTGGTATCACAGGCAAATCAGGCTGATTCTGCTACGCTACGACCAAAACAAAGAGCACGCAAGAAGTGCTAATGGCTGCTCTAATGGACGAACTGAGACTTTTTGTTTTGTCATTCGCGCCAATGAGCTCTAGCAACACGAAACCATCTATTACACCTCTGTTTGGGAACATAATGCCAACATCATTGGGGAATTAAATAAATAAATGAAAGAACAAGTTGACCGGAGAGGATGAGGTGAACGTTCTTCCAGACGGATGTCCCACATAAATCAGCCTCTATATCCTATTACCGCCTAAGTAGCTGCCGAAGACACGTCTCACTTCAAATCAGTCTTCTCCGTGCCGCGGTTTTGTGACAGGCGGTTCAAATTGATATGTTTTGTCCGCTTGTGGTTTTGCCCTACGAAAGACTTAAAGCGGGCGTCAGCCCCATACTGCCGCTGACTAATTGGCTGTTATTGCAAATCCTCTGGTGTGTAAGTTTTGTTGCCTTTCCTTGTCGTCCTACAGAGAGCAGTGTCCTGCAGAGCCCCGTCTTCAGCAAGCAGCCCGGCAGCATCGTGTACCCCGTGGAGACCGTGGAGAAGAATAGGGAGGTGGTGTTCAGCTGCGAAGCCCAGGGAAGCCCGCCTCCCATCTATCGGTGAGTG